GGCTCTGAAGACTCTCCCAGCAGAAAATCATCAGGTAAAGCGCAGAAACACACCTGCTTACATGAGAAACTTCAGGAGAAACACACATGCGCACTGAATGAACGCGAGTTAATCCTGATGATACAGAGTCAGACCACACACACACACACACACACACACACACCTGACATGCACTGAGTCTCACGCATAAGACACTCTAACATGCGTTTCACAAACAGTTGCATGATCTGCTGAATGTAAACAAAGCGCACAGCTGAATCAGGAAGTTTTACTGTGCAGCGGGGAAACAGCGACGCCACTGTGATCTGGCCAACATCGGTACTGCACTGGGATTATGTAAAGGAAAAAAAACACATTATTGTTACATATAGCATTTAATTATAGCACAAGATCCCCCTGAGACCCAGAAAAAAGCTTTGTGAATTTAGTATTTTTTCATGTCATTACATTGTTTAGAACATAAGAAAAAATGGAAAAATAACATTTTTGAAAAATTATATTTTATTCATGTCATGCTATATGTCCTCTGTAGAGGACACCAGGACTCAGGAGTTTTTCTAAAAAAACAAAAAAAAAACAAGACATGCATAGACACGAAAAGGCAAAAGCAATGGGATTAAAAAAATCAATCAATTTTTAGGTTTCAGGATTTTTTGATTCTCAACTATGTTGATAACAAAATGATTTGATATACCATTTTTCTTTATGCAGTATGTGTGTAAAATTTCCATAAACTGGTTTTCCCATTAAACACTATGTTATCTATACACTGTATCTAATTAGCATATTAAAGTGCTGTTGGGACAGCATGTTGAAAAAAGAAGTGTAATAATGAGAGTAATAATTGGCCAGATTTTCATAATAATATCTAATATTTCATAAGAATGCTGATATATAATTTATTTTCCTATTCAATTGTTTTGTCTCCCAAAATGCGTAATAAACATGCTTTTAGTCCTGGTGTCCTCTACAGTGGACATGCATGAAATGATGACCATTTCTGGTCAACAGAAAGTCAATATCTTTAAATATTTTTTATTTATTATCAGGGGCCAGTTGTCCAAAAAGTTGAATCTGGATCAGAATGGAAAACCCATGTTTTGCGATCCAGGATCAGGAATCCCATCTTACTTCTGTGTCAGTTTTTCAAAGCAAAACTGGATTGGATCACCCTGATCCAGATACACACTTTTCCAGATTTCCAAATCTGGATTACTAGTGCTCTACGGAGCCCCTAAAGGGACACGCTGATGGAGAAACAAAAGCCAATGTTTTGCATTCTAGTTCAGCATTGCATTTACACAAATAACTACCATCTCTGATGATTGTGCAAATGTAGTTTACAATCAGTGCTAAAAAAACACTTTCGATTTAAATAGTAATAATATTTCACAATCTGTACTGTACTATTTTTTTTTTAATCAAAATGCGGCCTTGGTGAGCAGAGACTTTTGAACTATACCTCTGAATTTGTTTTATTTTTGTATTTTTTGTTATCATTTTAATTTTAGTTAACATTTGAATAATTTTGTGTTTTGGCATTTTTAGTAGTTTTTTTCTTTAAAAATATGCATATATAGTTTTTATTAATTTTATTTCAGTAATTTTAGTAAATAAAGTTAAACTAAATGAAAATGAGATATGTTGCCTTGGCAACTAGCTGAAATAAAACAGTTTTAAGTTTTATTTTATTTCTGTCCTAATCAGTCAACCAGTCCTAAATCCAAAATCAGTACTACAATTACAATCATAATATATAATATGTGTCCCTGCAGCACAGAAGCAGTGTTGAGTCGCTGGGGGATATTTGTAGCAATAGCCAACAATACATTGTATGGGTCACAATTATACATTTCTCTTTTATGCCAAAAATCATTAGGATATTAAGTAGAGATCATGTTCCATGAAGATATTTTGTAAATGCCCTACCGTACATATATCAAAACTTAATGTTTGATTAGTAATATGCATTGCTAAGAACTTCATTTGAACAACTTTAAAGATGATTTTCTCAATATTTAGATTTTTTTGCACCCTCAGATTCCAGATTTTCAAATATTGTCCGATCCTAACAAACCATACATCAATGAAAAGCTTATTTATTCAGTATAATGTATTAAAAAAATTGACCCTTATGACTGGTTTTGTGCTGCAGGGTCCTGTCGCGGGGCGATGTGGGCGAGGTGAAGGTGGTGCGAGCGGATTTCGGCGTTCCTCTCACACATGTGCAGCGTGCTGTTCAGAAGGAGCTGGGAGGATGGGAGGAGGTCGACATCGGCATCTACTGCATACAGTTTGTGCTCATGGTGTTCAACGGAGAGAAACCGGAGACCATTCAACCATTCAAAGTCTGTCTGGACACTGGTACTGAACCCCCTCGCATGCAGACAGCAGAATATCACAGATATTAGTCAGTTAGACATTCAGAGGGATCTACTGTGTTTGTGTGAGAGGCAGGCCTGCTGGGAACATAATATAATTACAAACCAGCATTTATTCAGACGCCACAGTTTATTCACTATAGTTTAGAAAATGGTAGTAAAATATGACAAGAACTCAAGAGTTAAACCGTGTCAGAACAAATTCATCTTGATAATGTCTGAAATATAAAAATATATAAAATATCTGGTGACTGAATCATTTTTGGTTTGACTGTATCTTTAATAATAATAGTAATAATAATAATATTTTTTTTCAATCTGTATAACATGACATTTCAATAATAATAATAATAATAATAATACTTTGTTTTAATAAAATACCTTTCATGCATTAAATGCAGCTCATTGTGCTTCACAGGTCAGAATAACAACATTTAAGGCATTAAAAATAATTAAACAATATAAAAATAAAAATAAAAGAATACACTGATAATAATAATAATACTTTTTATTAGTATAATAACTCACTTAAAAAAGTTATTTAGTATAATTTTGCCAGAAAAAGTTTTAGAATTTTTATCATATGTTAATGTAAAAAATCTTGTTTGTTTGTTTGCTGGTTTTTATTGTATTTGTTATAGTTGTATTTTTTTTTATTGTTTTTGCCATGAAAATAGCCTAAGCTGTTGACATGGCATTAAATAAAAATATACAACTTCTACTTTATTAGTATAATACCTTTCATGCATAAAATACAGCTCATTGTGCTTCACAGGTCAGAATAACAACATTTAAGGCATTAAAAA